AGCTTGCTGCCGAGTGCAGGGCGTAGTCGCCTGCTGCTACCTTGGCCCAAAGGGGTGTGGTATCTTGTGTCGCCTACGGTAGCTTGTGCGCACAGCAGCACTAAATGTTCACCTTTAATTGCACGGGGATACCCCGACGTCCGGACGCATCTTGCTTCCCAGTCGGGAACCAATCCCTCTGCTTCACCAGGGCCACCAGCTCCACGAAGAAAGGGTAAGGGAGACGAAAGCTCTCGCGGAAGCGGCGAGCAGGCCTGCTCGTGGGGCCGACAATTCCATCCACCTCAAGATCCTTGAGCTCCTGCAGCTGAATCGCCCAGCCAGAGATATTGTAATCCTTACGAGGGTATACGCGTCGCCTCTTGATCTCACGGTTGTCCTCCTCCTCTTCTTCGGAGTCGGGATCGAGCTCATCTAGATCGTCGAGTACAAGATCCCATGCCACGAGCGTGCGCTGCTGCTGTTGATTGAAAGCCGCCAACGCGACGCTGAACGCAGCAGGCACGTTGACGGCACCCGTTTCTGACGATGACATGGTGCCCACACGGACCCAGGCTACCACCAACAACAGGCCCAGTAGCAGCATGCGAGGGAGTTTGCGCGGTGCACGCGAGACACAGGACAGCAGCTGTGTACTCGCTGCTGTGCTGCTGTGGATGGTGAACGCGGTCTAGTTGCTGCGCTGTTGTTGTGCATATGTGCGGTGCCCCCGGTGTGCATTTCCAAACGCAAAAAACCGATCGTGTCCACGTTCGGAAATGCTCATCATTTCCAAACGCATGGCCGGTTGGAAACGTGAAATCGAAAATGTTCAGGCGGAAAAGTGTCATTTCCGATCTTATAAGAAACAGTTTTTGGTCCGAATTTGGAAATTCACATTTTTGAACTGCATTTCCGAACGTTCTAAGAAACCGCCTAAGAAACGTTTTTGCAGGCAGCATGTTGTTTTTGGGGGGTTGGGAAATTACGCATTTTTCAACTGGATTTCCGAACGTTATAAGAGACAGCCTAAGGGTTCTCGGACCCGCACAAAATTTTCACGGGTAGGTTTAGTACAGTAGAGTATGTTTAGTAGAGTATCGAGAATCTGTACTAACGGTTGAGTAGAGGTGAATACTCTAGTCACCTGAGTAGAGTACAGAGGTTAGGTACTAAACTCAAAGAGTATATTTAGTAGAGTATGAAAAGCCGTACTAAACCGCAAGAGTATGTTGAGTAGNTTCTCGGACCCGCACAAAATTTTCACGGGTAGGTTTAGTACAGTAGAGTATGTTTAGTAGAGTATCGAGAATCTGTACTAACGGTTGAGTAGAGGTGAATACTCTAGTCACCTGAGTAGAGTACAGAGGTTAGGTACTAAACTCAAAGAGTATATTTAGTAGAGTATGAAAAGCCGTACTAAACCGCAAGAGTATGTTGAGTAGAGTATGAAGAGCCATACTATAAAGTGAGTATGAGTAGAGTATGAAAAGCCGTACTATACTAAAAAAAAAGATGTTTAGTAGAGTATTGAAGAGCCGTACTTACAAAAGTTTTAGTAGAGTACGAAGAGCTGTACTAAACGCCACAGTATTCTTAGTAGAGTATGAAGACCTGTACTAAACGCCACAGTATGTTTAGTACAGTATGAAGAGCTGTACTAATCGCCACAGTATGTTTAGTACAGCATGAAGAACTGTACTAAACGCCGCAGTATGTTTAGTATAGTATGGAGAGCCATACTAAACGCCACAGTACGTACGCTTAGTACAGTACATGTACTGACAATACTGAAAGAACAACTACTCCGTACAAGCGTTGATTTGATTGCATGATAAGCATAAACATAAACATAAACATATTGCACCCCCATCCCCTCGATGCTCCGTCGCCCCCTCCCTCTCCGTTCTTACCAATCACCACTAAACTAAAACTAAAACTAAAACTAAAACTATTTAGTAGATCGACGACGCCGTAGAGCACCTTCGATCCGCCCAGTCGATTGAGAGTTCAAAAAACNTCGCCACAGTATGTTTAGTACAGCATGAAGAACTGTACTAAACGCCGCAGTATGTTTAGTATAGTATGGAGAGCCATACTAAACGCCACAGTACGTACGCTTAGTACAGTACATGTACTGACAATACTGAAAGAACAACTACTCCGTACAAGCGTTGATTTGATTGCATGATAAGCATAAACATAAACATAAACATATTGCACCCCCATCCCCTCGATGCTCCGTCGCCCCCTCCCTCTCCGTTCTTACCAATCACCACTAAACTAAAACTAAAACTAAAACTAAAACTATTTAGTAGATCGACGACGCCGTAGAGCACCTTCGATCCGCCCAGTCGATTGAGAGTTCAAAAAACACACACACAAAAAAAAAAAGTCAGAGCAGACAACAGTAGGAAGAAGACTACCCATCATCGCCCACGCCAATGTCATCCTCGGAGGGAGGCGTGGTGTTCGAGAGCGGATTGAGCCCGGCACGACGACAACCTCGTTGTCTTGTTGCGCGTCTTGTGTTGAAGAACCCAGTGCGAGGGTACTCGTACCGGGAGAACCACCCGCATCGGGAGCAGATGCGGCCGAACCACCGCTCGCGTCACTCATGCTTAGCTGCCACTATCTCCCCTGCGGGCCACTACCTCAGTATCTGAGTATGCGAGCGCGCGAGTATCGGAGCCTGGAGCCCACCACTACTCCGTGCGGCGAGACTGTCTACTTTCTGCTGAATAGTGACGTCACCAACACACCCTTTGGTGGAAGGTAGTACGTACTCTGACGTTGAGTAGTACGTACTCTGAGTTGAGTATGGCGGGCTGTACTATGGCCTGAGTAGAGTATGGGCAGCCATACTAAACGCAACAGTATGTTTAGTAGAGTATGAGAAGCTATACTAAAGTGATAGTAAAGTACAGTATAGGAAGCCATACTAAACTCAAAGAGTATGTTTAGTAGAGTATGAAAAGCCGTACTANCAAAAGTTTTAGTAGAGTATGAATAGCTGTACTAAACCGCCACAGCAGTATGCTTAGGAGAGTATGAAAAGCTGTACTAAAGTGTGAGTATTACTCTACTGGGCGAAAAGGGCCAGAGAATTACTCAATACTCGGGTCAGTACTAATAGTAGATACTATACTAAACCTACCCGTGAAAATTTTCTACTCGACCACCTTTCATGGTTACCCCCCCCCCC